CTAGGAAGCAGAGGAAACAATCCTCTCCTCCCAGAGTTGGGTTGTGGGTGAATTGAGCCCCTGTACCTGGCCGTGATTTCTAACCCCTCAGGCGCCACGGGGAAGGCATCAGAGCCTGGGACAGCTCTCTACCATGTCCTCCTGTGTCACTGCAGGACTGCTTGTCTTCCTCTTGCCATTTGATTTTGAAAGGAGGGTTCTTGTCGCTGGGACCCTAGAATATAACTCACAGTCTGAGCACAGTAGGGGTGCACACAGCATGACAAGTAAACCACTGTCCCCAGGAGAAGGGCAACCTTTCTTACTCCAGGGGAGAGACCCTATGTTAGGGGTGAGTGCTTTGTCACAGGCCTGGCTGCCTGCAGCTGAATGAAACATCCTTGGATGGAATGTGCTCCCATCTTTAGGTTGTTCTCAGCTCCTCACTATGGGACTAGAGCAAAACTGAACCTGGTTGAGCACGCATCTGTGGGTGATAGACCCCAGACTCAGGGCACTACCCTCTCATGTGGGCGCCCCAGAAACCTGGATTCCAGACCAGTTGATGCAATCAGCAAGAGGCTTTATTTTGATCGTTTGCGCAAATGGGCCCTCTGCACTATTCAATGAGAGGAGCCCCGAACAATAATTGTAGGCATCTTTTAAAGGCAAAACCCACAAAATTAGCAAAGCATTCGAGGCAATACATAATTGGCTAGTTTAAAGATCAACACTGGGGAGGGGGCGTACAGCCATGGGGACTTTCCATGGAGGCTGCTTTTCTTCCTAGAATAGCCACAGGATGTTCTGTTAGATCCAGATAATGTCACAAGATTATTCTGCTGAGGCTAATGGTTTGGGGGCCTGGGACTGGTATTCGTTCCTCTTTCTGATGGTCTGCTGAGGCTGACAATTTGGGGGCCTGGGACTGGTACTCGTTTCTCTTTCTCATGTTTAACTCTTTCTTGGGGTAGGATGTTGAATCCTTTAGGCACATGCTAAAGAGCGGTAGAGCTGGTCATAGAGCAGATTTATTTTTAGCTTCTTGAGAATTCCCCCACAAGGTTTTTTTCTCCACTAATTTTGAGGCACAACAAAGTTTACAATTCCATCACCAGTGACTGAGGGTTTCCCTTTCCCCACGTCCTCACCTGCCTTTGTTGTCAGTTCTTTTCCTGATCTTAGCCGTTCTGGTTGGGGTAGGGGGTAATTGTGGGGTCACTTGTCCTCTCTCTAGAGTCGCATGGTGGTGCTTATTTCTCTCTTCTGTTGAAGTCTTGCTCCCAGTGTTCTCCGGGGCCGTTTTGATGGACAAGAATTATTTTGGCTTATTCTGTGATAGAGAGGCTTTTTTTCCAATGGCAAGTGCATTTTCTGGGTATAAATGCCCTAGATTGGCATTTGTGGTCCTTTAGAAGCTGAAGAGCATTGCTCCAGGCTTTTGAATTTTAAATTCCACTGAGAAATGAGCAGTTAATATGATGGGGTTTCCTTCATACGCGAGTCAGGAATGTTTCTCTTTTTGCTTTTTGTGCCCTCTCTTTGTTCAGTATATTTAATGTTTTAACTATAACACACATGGGGAGTTTTGTTTCTGGTCTTGTCTATTTGTTGGACTGTGTGTTCTTGTATCTATGTGGTTAAACCTTTCCTTAGTTAGGGACAGTTTTCTTCTATGATATTGTTGATGATATGGTCTTTGCCAGTGACTTGGGATTCTTTTTTATCTATTTCCATAATTAGAAGAGTTGGTCTTTTTATGTTGTTCCTTAGTTTCTGAATGTTCCTTTTATGTGCTTTAAAATTTTATAATTATTATTTGATTGAGTGTTCTAATTCATCTATTTTACCTCCAAGACATGGTATTTTATCTTCTACTTGATCCATCCTATTTGTAAGGCTTTCCCCGAGTTTTCTAGTTGTGTTATTGATTATTCAATTCTATCTTTGTTACAGCTTAAGTTCTCTTCAATATTTCTCTCTTTACTGAATTCTGGATTTTGTTCCTCATTTCATTCAGCTGCAGATATTTTCTTGTGCATTTATTGATTTCCTCTTCAAATTCATTGAGCTGTGGTTTTGTGTCTTCCTTAAGTTTCATGATTTATTTGATAAAGTTTGTGATTGTTCTTTTAAGTTCTGTGTTCTGGGATTCAACTATGTGATTCACCCTGGAGAGCATTTATGTGGGGCTGGTGGGTTTGGAGAGAGGGGCATACTTTCTTGTCCTTTCATATTTTTGTGTGTTTTTTTGTGAGGTTTCCTGGGCATGTAGACTTGTTTCTTTGGTTGTGTGTCTGTTGTGAGATTCTAGGTTACACTAGATTAGTGTGGGGACTGAATAAATGGAGGCAGGTTGGGAATATCTGGTGTATGATCAGCTCATGTAGAATTAGGTTTGGGAATGTGGAGAGGACGCAGGGTTGGTGTGGGTCAGGGGAACTCAGTATGCAGTGGCTGAATGTGAGGTAAGTGTCCAGACACATGCCCGTGAGTGTAGACATAATACTGGATAGTTGGGGGTAAGAGGATGCCCTAGACAAAAGGGTAAATGAGTTATGTGCCTGAAGCTAGTGTTCGGTGTGTGGTGTGTGTGAGGAATTGAGTCTGCAAAGGTGATGCACAGGCTGCATGTCAAGAACTAAACATGTGAGAATGGGCACAGTGCAGGGGTAGGTGTGAGTCATAGAAATCCATCAGGAAAAGACTGTACAAGCTACAGAATTAGGCCTGCACATGTAGAAATCAATGTTGCAGTCTTGTAGTAGACCTGTTTTCTTAAGCCTCCTAAAGTCTTGCTGCCTGAAGCATCCAAAGAGCTGTACAGCTGGGTCATATGGTCGATTTCTTTGGCATGTGCCCAAGCATGTGCACTCTCTCTCCTCAAGCCCAAAATGACATTTGTTGTTGTTTGTTTTGTCTTTTTTGTTTTTTGAGACAGGGTTTCTCTGTGTAACAACCCTGGAACTCTCTCTGTAGACCAGGCTGGCCTTGGACTCACAAGAGATCTGCCTTCCTCTGCCTCCTGAGTGCTGGGAATAATATCATGGACCATTAATACCCACTTTTGTTTGTTTGTTTGTTTTAGCTCAAAATGTCCTTGGTGACCACCCTTTTAGAATGACTCCTCAGTTTTCTATGTCTGCACATGTTGAGTTTTCTGAGGATGTTCATTCCCCTATAGTAGTCATATTTTATTTACTGATTGTTCATTATGGTGCATTTGCATTCTCCTCAAAGTCAGATATCACAGGTAGTATATTCTCCCTCAAGCATAGGGACAGGAGAAGGCATTTTGACTTGGTGAGCCTTATATATATTGCTCTATATCTCTGAAAGAGTGACCTCAGTAGAAAGGACAATTTTCATTACTCATGGGACAGGCCTTGGTAGGGTTCACATAGTGTTGTATATTGGTTCCTCCAACACTGAGAAGGTACTCACAACTGGTTTTTATTTGTTTTTGTTTTTATTTTGTTTTTGTTTTTATAGGTGGGAAGCCTTTCATCTCTCTGAAGGGCCCAGAGCGGAGGACAGTCACTTCAAATTCAGTGCCTTTTACCTGCACCGCTGGCCTTTTCCGCTCTCGGAACCTCAGTGTTAACTGGTTTAAGGACAACAATGAACTTCCAGCCTCAGTCCCACAGCGGCTGCCTATCAGCAGAGACGTTTACTATGTCACAAGCAAGTCATCAGTGACATTGGACAAACAAGATATCCTTTCTCAGATCACCTGTGAAGTCACCCACAGGGACCTCGATGAGCCCCTAAAAATGACCATCAGTCTTTCTCAAGTGCTCCTAGGTGAGTGATCACTGATATACGTGGTGGGGCCACACTGATATCATGGAGGTTTGGCCCAACGCCCCATTTTACAAATGGGGAGTAGAAATTGATCACTGTCAGCCTTGAACACATGAATATGGATTAAAAGTACAGGTTCCACGTGCTAGACAGCTGGGCTTTGATCTTAATTCTATCATTTTATAGGCTGTAGAACATTTCTCATGTGTCTTAAATATTCTGTGCCCCAGTTTCCTTAAAAATTAGGAATAAAACCAACACCTACTTTGGAAGTCTCCTTTGAAACTTAAACCAGTTGTTCTTCTAAAAAACCAAGAAGCATTCCTAATATACTGTAAGTTGTTTGCGAATGTTTGACTTGCTATTGTAGGGACCTAGCATGCCTCTCTAAACATATTTGTCCTTTTTATATCACTGCTAATGTTCAAATTTTCTAAATATTTATTATTAGCTGGAGATTGTGATATACAGCATGTAACCTAAGCTCCTTGGGGAATAGGCAGGGATATAAAAAGTTCCAGTCATGTCAGAGTTAAGATGGAGTTCTAAGCCATCATGGAAAATTTAATGAAATAGAATAAAATAAGTGAAAAATGGGGCTAAGGGTGTACTTCAGTCTTGGAGTACTTATGTTCTATGCACAAAATCCTGATTTCTAGAAAATCTCTGGCATTGTGTAAAATATTATTCACCCAATAAACAATGAGCAGCTAATGTGTGCCAGGCACTGTTGTAGGTGTTGTGCTTATAGATTGCCTGTCCTTTTGGGGCAATTCATTTTAATAATTCTTATAATTATATGTCACAATGTCAAAATATGGAATATTTAACTCTAACCAGATTAGATACCCATGTGTTTCCAGCTACGTTGCATGAATATTTATACTTCTCCCTATTTGTCATACATGAAACATATACAAAGTTGTTTATTTAAAAAGAGAGTGAACTTGTGAACGCTCTTCACTTAGGAACTCACAGCACCTGTACAAGAATTGCACAAGATCAAGCCATTTGACATTCCAGCATGAAATAGAGGTCTTCATGGACCCCTGTCTTCTAGTTGTGACCTCCTGACAGCTTGTAGTCTCTGAAGGAATGACAGTGAGATTTCTTTATGGGTGTGGCCCTGGTAGTGGAGCATGCTCCACTGTCCCAAACCCATGAATATATAGGCAGCTCAAATTCAACTGGCTGGATTATAAGAAAAGAAAAGAAGGGCTGAGGGATGGCTTAGTGGAGGCAGAAGGTTCAGGAACTCAAGGTCATCTCTGGCTACATAGTGAGTTCAAGGTCATCGTGGAATTCTTGGGACCCTACCAATCAATCAATCTAAAACAAAATTTTAACCCTGGGACAGGAAAATAAGACAGTACCAAGATTTCACCTCTGTTCACTAATTGTTCCTGTCTAGTTAGCCCCACACTGAAGATCACCACTGAGTCCCCAGAGATCCGTGATCATCCGCATCAAAGAGTGAACCTGACTTTCCATGTCAACCACTTCTACCCCCAAAACGTGCACCTCACCTGGGCTAAGAATGGGCATAACATCCTGACTTCTGAGCGCTCTCAGACCACCAGAAACTCTGATGGGACATACTCTCTAAAGCACACGTTGCAGGTAGAAGCCATATCGGATGAGAGCATCTTTAGCTGCTTGATGTACCGGTATGATCAGCATCCATAGAGCATCAGCATCACCCGGGGAGCACAGGCCTCCCATAAGAGCAGAGGTGTGTGCCTTGTCTCCTTTGTATCCTAAGGGCATTGCTGCTATGGGTTGATCTTTCTGTATGTTGTTTATATATATATATCATAGGTTAAAGCTATTAGGCCAATAGCAAGGCAGGATAAAATTAGGCAGGACAATCAACCTGGGTACTGGGATGAAGCAGTGCAGAGTCCAGAGAGACATGAGCCAGCTGCCTAAAGAGAAAGATGCCAGATAATGGTAAAGCCATGGACCATGTGGCAATACATAGTTGAATAGAAATGGGTTAATTTAAAGGTAAGAATTACTTAATAATAAGCATGAGCATCTGACTGAGCATTTAGTGATTAATATAAGCTTCTGTGTGTTTATTTGGGACCAGACGGTCAGAAAAGAGGAGCTCCGCCTCCATTTAGACATTGTCATTGATTGGCCTGAGACTCAGGGAAACCCTGGTTGAAAGCAGAGAAAGGAAGCCCTCCCTA